TCCACATTACTACACTTTGCCACTTTTGTCTTTATTTGACCAACCTGTGAGATGTTTCTGAACTATTTCTTGGTTGTTTCGATGTATAAAAGTTTGTAATATGAATTGTTCAACCCACGTTTTTTATTTATAAAATGTTTCCGGAGAGTTCCCGCCAAAATTGGCACTTATGACATTTAATGTTGACGTAATTTTTCAAGGTCAAAAAGCCGCTGACAGTGTCAAAAACATATGATAGCAGTACCTCTGTCTATGACAGCATCTAGTTGGTACCATAAGTTTCTTGAAAGACATAATATTGTGAACAAATGAATGCTCAATCACGAATCTCTCTGACCTAATTTTTCGCAAAAAACATGTCTGTTTTTCCGCAGCCCTCCTAGATTTTATTGATCTGAGTTGTAAAGTTTGGCCACTATCTTTTTTACTTAAAACTGAAAGTATTTCTATCTCAGAGGACATTATGTAGGGCGGTGTAATTCATACGGTTGAATGAAGCTAAATCTTCAAGCCGTAATAGGCATAATGACCTCTTTTCTAAAGCCCCATTGTCAAATTTGCCACTTATTTAAACAATTACTGCGAGAAAGTGGGAAAGTGCCAGTGCTTGAATCAATAGTATACCTAATAGGGTCGTTGTATTTATCGGAGTTTTTGTGGTTTTTTACTTTTATGCGTTAGACATTACTTTACAAAAAATACTATCATTTCGATAATTTCAATGGTTTTTTAATAAAGATTCAGAATATGCAATAAAAAAATATGTGCAACGATCCAATTGCTGGCGGATGTATTTAATTTTAAATTTTTAGTCAAAAAAAAACTAAATGTAAAGTTCTAATTGACAAAGATCAGAATTATTATCTTTTATTATTTTTAGTTTGGAAGATCATGAGAGGACAAAACCAGCAAAAATACTGGCTCTTAAAATTTTGCTTTTAAAATAAGAATTTATGTAAAACAATTGGAATACTTTTTAAAAAATATTTTCAAATTTAGTTCTTCGCGTTGCGTTACCACACTTTTAAGAATCGAATAAAAGAGTATTTATAAAATTATATCGTTTGCAAATTCAAGTTGTTCTATGAGATTTCTAATAATTTAATCTACAAATTTGACTCCAGGTAGTCCAACGTTTTAAGAAACTTTCGTATAGTGGTGAAGGAATTTGTGATTTATCAAAATATAACAAATTTAATAAATTAGTTTCACTATCACGCGAGAATAAGTTCTTATTTCATAATATCTAGTTGTTTTTCTTTTCATGACCTACTTTATTGTTCTCATGTACCGTTTGTAATGACCACAGTAAATTACACCAACTTTATAGTTTGTTTGGCAAATTAACACGTTTTAAATTGGAAAATATTTTCATTTGATGGTTGTAACGTTTTGCTTATTTATTATTATTGCTTAAACGATTTAAATGAGGTCCTTTCAATTATTAAGGAACTAATAAATACTGGTTTGCGTTGGCGGGTAGTTTGAATAACTTAACTTTTAAATGTTTCATTGTGAAAAATATGTGAATCGTTTTTGAAATGACGAATTTAGAAAATTATACCACATAAAATGATTTATTATGAGTCAGTCACTTTAAGTCGCTGAAGTTGAAGTCGCATTGTCGACATTGCAAGTTCACGATCTTATTCATAAGGTCAAAAGGATGTCAACTGGAACACCGGAACACCCACGTAAATCCTTTATTAATGATGGATGTTGTCTGTAATTTCTGTACACCACAGCCAAGTACCAAGTAACAAATGTATGTAAATTAACGGAAGCTGTAATAATTGAAGTTGATGATGGTTTATACGAAGTCAAGTCAATGACATAAAGAAATTTTCAATTTTTCCAACTTGTACTTATTTTGTGTTTTCAATTCTGAATAAAATTTATTTTTGCTCTAATCGGCTCCTAATCTTAAACTACCAATAACCAATATCATGTAACTATACAAATATGTAGTTGTGATGTTTGTCGTCAAGTTGGTAACAAAATTTAATTCTTAATTTATTAAGTTTGATTATTTAATTATTTTAATTCCATCAACGTCACACTTTTATAAACAAATGTCATTAATTTCCAATGGACGGTTGCTGGCTTAGTCAACACTTTTTTTACTTTTTTAGTCAGTTTGGTTTTATTGCATAAAAAATAAATAACTAATAATGTAAATGTTATTTAAAAATAACTTTTGACTAAAAAGTAACGTTTCAAAAGAAAACTAAACGAAAACTGAGCTACGATTTCTAAGAGTAACATATTTTTATTTCAAAGGATTACAAAGTTCAAATTTATTTAAACTATCCTAAACACACTTTCAGTAAATCGAGAATTTTTATAAATATTGTACCACAATAACTTCTAATTCTTGTGTAATTTTGCTTATTTAAAGAGTTAAATAATAGCTATTTATACTACAACTGATTATGCACATTTTTTATTTACTTGTATACAAGGTGTCCCACGAGTAATAATGAGCCTGAAATTTTTTTGAACCAACCAACATTACATTTCATACTCGTAGATAACGTGGATATTAAAATACAGGGTGTTTCACGTAATTCTACGAGGCCTGCGCCTGTAAGATGCAATCAAAAATACATATTCCGATACGAACTCGATTACAAATTTTGAAAAATTGGATAATCTTCTCTAGTTTGTTCACCCTTTCAAAAATTACAACGTTTTTAGTTAGTTAGTGATTAAGATAGATAAACTACAAATCATATTCATGCCGTCTCTTGAGAGAACAAATGATAATTATTTCTGAAAAACTGCAGTTAATGACTATTAATGAAACAGTGGTTGGTTTGACAACTACTGTCATGAGGTTCCCAAAATTTAAATAATTAAATGTGTATTTTTTGTATCCAGTGTTCTGTGACTTTTGTATATTTGGGTGCATAGATTAGGTGCAAGCCTCGTAAAGTTATGTGAAACATTCTGTATTTCGTTTCAATTAGTTAAACATAGTAATCGTTTTTTTTTTATTTTTGACAAATTTCTATCAGTCAAAATGACTTTACTCCAGTTTTAGTAAGTTCGTCTATTTGGATATCACGCTGGATAGAAACGTACAGTCTGCGAAGTGTTTTTCAAACATTCTTCATAAATGAGAATCTTGTTGGTCTTTTCGGCAACATTTTAATAATTCTCACAAAATTCTCAAGGGTGTGACTTTTTATAAATTAAAGTTGATTTGTGCTGTGTGGTTTATGTTTAATTTATTAAAACTGAATATATATATCCACGTTATCTTTTAAATGTAATGTTGGTTGCTTCAAAAAAAAATCATTACTCGTAGGACATACTGTATAATTATACACGTAAGACTAAGACCCTAACAAACTCAAAATGCAACACAAAATACATTCTTACTTTTCGGTCAAGTTCGGAAGATCTTCGCTGTTGGCCCGAAACGTTCTTATAACAAAGCATTAAAAAATATTGGAGCAAAAAGAATTCTGTTTAAATATGTAGTTGTAAGTAATTTCTAGATCTAAAGTCTTTGAGAAAAAAATCTTCTAGTGGATTCCCATTAATAAAAAACACAACTCAAAAACTAAAAGATGTCACATGAAACTCTATTCCTGAAAAACGATAACGTTTTTATAATATTTTATAATGACCTAAATATTTTTAACGGAAAATGAATAGTTTAAGCAAAAAACGCATGATTCCATACTTTTTCTTCAACCAATTTAGTATGTACATACACTTGAGTGCAAAAAAACGCAAATTGATTTTTTTTATAATGTAATTTGGTCTGTTAATAAATGCCAATTTTTTGACGTTGTCTTTGTCACAATTCACAATTTCATATCTTCCAAACTTCTATCAAGTTTTTCCATGTTTTTCCATTTTGTTTTTAACACTGACTATGACACACTGGCAAGACCACCAAATAAAACATTTCTTTTGATAATTTTCTAACCTTTTTGAAAACAACTTTTTTCATACTACATATGTAAATCTCTGAAAAATTTGACAATTTTGTTTTTGACAATTTGCGTTTATTTGCACTCAAGTTATGTATGTGTGTATTACCACCATACCCTTGTGAACTCATCAATCTGTTTAAGAGAAAATGATGAACAAACAAGGGTAATAAATCATGACGAGCTTATTAAAGTGTGTTGTTGAATATCTTATACGTATATTTGTATTTCAATTTAACGGAATATTACGGTTGATTAACCTTCTTGAGCGTAGGTAATTACAAAAGTAAAAAAATGTAGGTTTACTTATACACAAACATCGCTTTAAACCCTAAAAATGTTAAGAAAAATTTCTCCATGTCATTTTCTTTATTTAACTTTGGCGTCAATATGTTTTTAACCAGATTTAACTAAGAAAATTTTCCTCTTAATTAATAGTCTATTTATATTACCTTATTTAGAAGTATAGAAAATTAATATACGCATACAGAATGCACCAAAACTCGCGCCCCCCAAAAAATGCCATGAAAGGTTCCATCAGGAACACGGAAAAAATGTACCTATAAAAATTTCGAAGTTATGAGAGTTTAAATTTTGCACTTTGACTCTATTTATTCCTGTTGGAAGAATAATTTTCCAAGTTTTTTTGCTACAGGCTATTAGAAGAGGAAACAAGAAAGCTGTATCCTAAATTATAACTTTGGTTAATGTTATTTGTGGCAAAATTTTTCTACCATTACTAAATAATTATAAAAAAACATATCATTCATCATTAGTATAATTAAATAGACATAAAAAATGTCAAATGTCAAAAATTAAATGTCAATTTTTTTCGATAGATTGAATTTTTTAAACATTTCCATGTTTCTAGTATTTTATTTTACTAGAAATTTTTCTCTGGGACGCGAGTTCTGACACACTCTGTATATCTACTCTATTGCTAATTTGGCATACGATAACAGATAATATTGGTTGTCTGTTAGTGAACTGTCTATTTTTGTCAATAAGCTTTTTTCCCTTTAGAATAGTTGGATTTGCGTGCTGGCTACTACTCACCTTAACTAAATTTTTCATAATGGGACTATCCATTAGTCCCTTTAGGAATATTAAATCAGTCTCATTAATTCCACTAGTTCCATCTATATACTCGATACTTTCCCTAACATGTCGGAATGCATCTGCAACAAAAAGAGTTGTTACTTAACTTTTTCTGATAAAGTGATATATTTAAAAAATATTGGTCTAACTACTCAGTGGATTCCAATAATAATAAAATAAAATAGTATTTTTTACACATTTATTTTCTCATTTGTAATATTCATTCAGTTATCGAGTTGTATGTAATACGTATTAATGGCATCTATCTGCTTTATAAAAATCAATAGTTAACATTCGCAATCCTCACGTAACTGTTTGCACTCACTGCAAATATTTCCTAGGCATAATTTTCTTGGAAAAATTGTAATGTCAAAATATTTTCGTATTTATTGCTGCAAATCAAACCAACTCTAATTTTATTTATTGTCTAGTAGTAAAGTAAAATTTATCATGTTATTGTACTTCCAGATCTGATAAACGTTAGTCCAACTGCTTCAACATACATATCATCAATGACATAACTTCATTACTGAATTACAGTTGTTACAATTACAACTGTTCTCTCTCGATGAAACCAGCTTAAGAAACAGATTAGATCCAAATTTAAGTAGATAGGGTTTCTGCTCACAGAATAACCAAAACTGAAAAACCAAATGAAAAAAAATATAAAATTATTATTAAAGTATTACTCCTATTATTATATTGTGTATTCGTATTCAGGAGACTCTTTTATACTGGGTGATTCTTAAATAGACCGACAAAATTTTATTCTTGGTAGTATCAAATGAGAACATGCTGGAAAAAATATTTAAAAAATTCTTTGTTTAAACGTTCTTTAAATAAAATTTATTAAAGTTATTTTCCAAGTAAAGCGTACGCCACTGATGTGTTAGCACAGGTAGTGGTAACCATGGTATTAACGTACTTGATTATTGTAACAATTCATAAACGCCGTAAGTGGCACGGATCAAGGGGGTTTTGCCCCTAAAAGGTATAAACATAAAAAAGGGTAAAGTTTGTTTCCATTTATCCTTAGGAAGATGTAATAAAATTTTGTCGGTCTATTTAAGAATCACCCTGTATATCCCTAAATCCTAGGGAGTAATTTCTTGTTGATACGATAATACTAAACTCGTTTAGGTTTATTAACAGCTTTTGCCAGTAATGTACTTTGTTGTTTTTAGTGTTGGTGACAATATTACTATTAGTGGTGGCAGACATGCAAAAAATCTCAACAATTCATTTCCAAATTACGCACAATGACAAATATCAGTTTGAGTTAAAATATTCAATGCCTTTGTGAATAACACTCTGCTAAAAAAAAAAATAAAAAAAGCGCAAAATAGAAAAAAAAGAGTACTGAAGCAATCGTTTGTTTCCCAACTCGCCGCTGCGGTGTTTCAAACTCTTCTTTATTGAATAGATGCCTTCTGCAACTCGAATTTTAATATACCATAATAGTACTTATGGGTAGTCATATAGGTAAAAAAAATGAACCAATTTTACATCTCAAATTCAAAATTCAAAGAATTTCAAAAAAAATCCGAAACAATTTTAATTGTACTTTATCAATCATCAATTTGTTTTTTCAAGAAGTTTTAGTTTAAGCAAATAACGCTTAGTTCCATACTTTTTTATAATTCTATATACATACAAGTTGACCCAGCGAGTTGAAAAAGTACATTAGTGACTTTTAAATGGTAAAATTTTAAAAAAATTATACGGGACATTGATAGATACTAATCTAGTGCATCACCTAAAATTATTTTCAACCATACAGCATGTCCCAAAAATAAGTTACGATAGATACAAACTTGTGTTTTTTTAAATAAAACACCGTAAGTTTCTTGTCATTTTTGGATGTAGCCTTTTGAAACAATGTATTTACGCTAATCTTTTATTAGTTGATTTTGCTTAGTTTAGAAATAAGACGTTTTTTTGACGAAAATATGCACTTTTTAAAAATCTATTACACAAAAACTAAGACAGCTGGAACATTTTTTTAATACTTTTGTAAACAAGAAAGTACAGAAATTAAGGCTGTAACAATTTTTTGGAGTTTTGCATTTGTGAAGAGTAAAAAATTAGGAAGTTTGTCAAAAGTTAAATAACTTAAAAAAATTAAATGGAACACCCTATTTTCTATTTTTGCATCTAATAGATTGATAAATTGTCTATCTAAAGAAATAAACTTTTAATGTCTAGAATTGATAATAAAAAGACATTTAACATTCAGTATTAATTGTAGCAACAATGCCTATCTACAGTGCGATCAAAAAGTCTTTCTATCAAGCAAGCGTAGAAATTTAAAACGTATGTCTGTGAAAGATAAAATGTCACAATGACAAATGATGTCAAAATAATTTTTATGTACATTATGACAGGAAACCGTGGTAAGCGTTTTTTATGAATAAACACCAACGAAATCTCGTTTTAAGATGTTTTGAGACGTTTCATAAAATAATTCAATTTAATTAGCTCAATGATTTAATTTTTATAAAATAATTTTTTGATATCTAGATAACATACGAATTGCCATGCAAAATACGTCCTTAACTAAGATGCCTACTTGATAGAAAGACTTTTTGATCGCACTGTATATATGATCATTGTTGATACTATGACAACCATAGTAATGCCATCTCGGATAACTTATCCGTTGATTTATACGGAGATTGTAAAAGTCGACATAAATACTGAAATTCGAATCATTTTATTGTAAAAATAAAGAATCATGAATTCAAAATCCAGTTTAACATAAATGTGATTATTAAGTTATATTTCTTCCATCTCTTGTGCAACTGTGCACTTTTTTGGCTACTTAAACAATAGTAATTATTTTTTTTTAATGTTTAACGTTAAATATCTTTTTAGTTATTGATTATAAACACCTAAAAGTAAATAATTTTAGAAAGACAATTTAATAATTTTTTAAATACAAAAACAATAAATAATTTAATTTTTTTAAGTTAACGAACATTTAACAAACGCCTTCATTCTTTTATCTTTCCAAATGCAACACACTAAAAAAATGTTACAACCTTATAGCTTATACCTTCTTCTTTGCGGTAGTAAACAAATATTTCTAGATGTCTTAATTTTCGTGTAATAAATTTTTAAAAAGTTCATGTTTTCGTCAATATCCGTCTCATTTTTAAAAACATTGTCATAAAAATCTACATCCAAAAACGCTAAGAAACATATGGTGTTTCATTTAAAAAAACACAGGTTTGTATTGTAACTTATTTTTGAGACACGCTGTATAGGTGAAACTAATTTTAGGCGATGAACTAGATTAGTATCCATCAATGTCCTATATATATTTTTTAATTTTACCATTTAAGGGTCACTAATGGAGTTTTTCAACTCGCTGGGACACCATGTATCTCATCGCTTTGTATCTCATATTTACATGAATTCTTAGAAAGTTAAAACTTCAAAATTAATATAATTAATATAATGGAGTACATACCTACATTGAAACAATATAAAATTGTAATTATTTTTTAATAAAATCTTCTACATATCTACTATTTTTTTATACAAAACCTCTAATAGGCTTTTTTACTTTCCTTACCCTATAATTTAAATATACAGGGCTTTCATTTCAAAAGGATCCAGTCTCAATAACTTTTGACATTGAGTAAATGGATTTTCAAGCAAAAACAGGATCTCGAGGGGGAAGTTGAAAACCAACATTAGTTACATTTTAAGTTTCATCCCCTAGTCGCTAGCCACCCCTACTTTAAAATTTTAAATGGCACCCCCTACATTTTAGAACATTTTCGGAAAGAGAAAAAAATCAGCGTCTCTAAATGTCAAAGAAATTTTTTTTGTCGATTTGTTTTTTAGTTAGGGGTGGTTTAATTTTTGAAATTTTTAGTCCTAGTAGCCTTTGATTGAACTTAATTTTATTTAAATAAAAAATATGTCGATTTGGGTTGCGATGGGAGAGTTTAAAACCAACATTAAATACGTTTTAGGTTTCATCCTCTAGTCGCTAGCTACCCCTACTTTACAATTTTAAATGACACCCCCTACTTTATGAAACATTTTCAGCAAGGGAATAAATGAGCGTATCTGTCAAAGAAAAATTTTTTTTGTCGATTCGTTTTTTAGTTAAGGGTGGTTTAATTTTTGAAATGTTTAGTCTTAGAAGCCTTTGATTCAACTCAATTTAATTTAAATAAAAGTAATTTTTTATTTAACTGAACTGTCAAATGGTAAATTTTCGCTGAATTGTTGACACCACCGCCTTCTTAATAAAATGTAGTAGATGACACATAATCAAAATCAAAGTTAAAGTGTAGTAGGACTGATGAAAATTTCTAAAATAAAACTACCCCTAACTCAAAAACGAATCGACAACATATTTTTTTTCATTTACGATTAGATAAGCTTTTTTCCACCCCTTCCAAAAATGTTTCAAAAAGGTGGAGGGGCTCTTTAAAATTTTAAAGTAAGAGTGATTACTAACTAGGGGATGAAACCTAAAACGTATTTAATGTTGGTTTTGAATTCTCCCATCACAATCCAAATCGACATATTTTTTATTTAAATTAAATTGAGTTCAATTAAAAGCTACTAGGACTAGCAATTTCAAAAATTAAACCACCCCTAACTAAAAAACAAATCGACAAAAAAAAATTTCTTTGACATGTAGAGACGCCGATTTTTTCTCATTCCGAAAACGTTCTAAAAAGTAAAGGGTGCCATTTCAAATTTTAAAGTAGGGGTGGCTAGCAACTAGGGGATGAAACTTAAAATGTAACTAATGTTCGTTTTCAGCTTCCCCCTCGGGATCCTAATCGACCTGTTTTTGCTTAAAAATACATTTACTCAATGTCAAAACTTATTGAGACTGGATCCTTTTGAAATGAAAGCCCTGTATGTATTCTAAATTGTAAAGATTATTATAAGATTTGTTGTTTTGTCGCAGCTTTTGACCCTTTGTTGATCGAAATTTTTAATTTTACATTAAACTGATAAATGTATGCCTAAAACCACGTAAAAATAAAAAGTTAAATGTACCAAACGTCCATTAGAGGGGGCTGGAAGCTACAGTTGACCAAGGAATCAA